CAGCACATTCCTGTAAAACTGCTCACAGAGTGGGGCAGGGGACATGGGGCAAATGCCATCCTGACCCCCTGGTTGTGCCCAGCCAGAGGCTTCTACCGAAAGATCCCCCCAGCCAGTGTGACCATGAAATGGGCATGTGGGGATGTAGGATACTGACCAAAAGGTGGGTCTTGCTTGGTCTGTTGCTCTGTGTGCTACTGGGAACAGAAATGACCATACCTCAGTCCAGCTGAGCCATGTGTTTGTGGGTGTGCTTAAGAGGAAGTGATAGCCTAGAAAATACAGAACTGTAAGAGTTAATTTTCAAGTCCTTCAGGGAAACCTCTCTTTTCAGTTCTCCACGTTTCTTCTGGGTCTTGAAAACCAAATTTGCTCTGTTATGTCTAAAACACATACCTGATTGCCTCAAGGAYTTCCTCCATGCCTCCAAATGTGCCTTACTCYRCACCTGGAGTGCATGTTCACAGAATTTTGTACTTGTAATGTAGCAGACAGTCACAATCGTTATCACCTTCCCTCTGTCTCCAGGGCACTCAGGTGAYGTCCTCTGCAGGAGCACAGGCTAAAGCACCTCACTCTCCATCCAGTCTGGCCTTGACCAGGGACAGGGCATCCACAGCYTCCCTGKGCAMCCTGTTCAGTGCCTCGCCACCCTCACAGGAACAAMTTCCTCCTGATATCCAATCTARATCTCTMCTCTTTCAGTTTAAAAMCATTCCCCCTTGCACTATCACTACTTGCCYATGTAAAAAGTTGCTCTCCCTCTTTTTTAAAGCCCCCCTTGAAGCACTGAGGGCCACACTGGGGTCTCCAAGTAGCCTTCTCTTGTCCAGGCTGGTGGAGTCAGTGGAGAGAATCCTGTTTGGCTGCAGCTGGGTAACAACTCATCACAGCACGTGAGCACCATTCAGAAACACAGGGAAGAAAAGGATGTACATTTTGATGATAAATCCATCACAAACACTCACTGTTCTGTGGCTTTATTTATTGGAAAATACYTGCGGCTGCCCAGGAAGGCAGTTTAAAATGAATGGGTATTTCATTTTTGGTTTTAACACCTTAGGTAGCCCAGGAAATAAAGGTGGCTTACAAAGGCTGCTCTGACATCTGAGATGACATCTGTTTCAGGACACGGGCACAAGTCATCAAAAGAAAATCTTGCAGAGGTCTATTTATCAATAAAATATTTAATAAACTTATCTGTACAAAATATTAAAAAGGTTATTGAAGAGTATACAAGAATATTTATTTAACAAATATATACTGCTATATAATATATTCAAGAAAATATAGATTGTTGTTTACAGTTCATTTACAATCCCATATGTACAATCTATTTAAACTTTAGATACATACAAACAAGGCATTTACACCATCACATACAGAGCTATCTTTAGAGACATTTCACACTCCCAGACCTGAAAAAGCTGAACAAATACATGGATAGTTCAGAGGCACACACAGGGATATGAGTATTGCTTCAAAAATCGTAACTGCTACAGATACAGCTATTGGAAACTTCATCAGTTTTTGATATTTTCCTTTCTAATCAAAGAAAAGAACATATAAATAAAACCACGACTGACCAGCAGAGAGGCTCGTTTTGTCAAAGGGACTCCAGAAAGTGTTGACTTGAYTCTGGAAACAGAGCACACAGGGATGGGATACATGGGGGGTGAGTGAATGGGATCAGCATTGCTCCCTGCTTCCTGCGAGACAGGGACACCGGGAGCAGAGCAGGGCTGTGCTGCATGGACAAATGTCCTTTTCCTATCAGCAGCGTCTCCACCAGCTTTTCCAGCGGTGCCAGACAGAGCTGGTGGCTCTGGGTGGGCACAGCCCCTGATCCTCGGGCTGTGAGAGCTCCACTTGCAAAGGCACTGCACAAACCTGGCTCTGACAGGAGTGGGAGCTCTGACCTTCAGCACCGCAGGAACTCAGACCCTTCCTGCCAAGGTCGATCACTCAGAGCAGGAGGGAGGAACGTAACCAGGGTGATCACCCCGCTCCCAGGGCAAGGAGGGGATGAGCTGCTCCTACAAAATGCCTTAACCCCAGCTGATCACTTCCTACACACCCATCTAACTCTGGCACCTTCAAGGACTGAAGCCTGGCCCCTCCATGTGTGATCATCCCTTTTCCCAGTCCCTCCATGTGTGATCATCCCTTTTCCCAGTCCCTCCATGTGTGACCATTCCTTTTCCCAGTCCCTCCATGTGTGACCATTCCTTTTCCCAGCTCCTCCATGTGTGACCATCCCTTTTCCTGGCCTGTGGATGTCATCTCACACGGCTGCTGCTGCTGGCTGAGCTCCTGTGAGCCCTTTGGTGCTCAGCAGTTCCTGGCACGTGGCTCTCTGGGATCACTAGCTAKGGAGCAAAGCAGCCCTAAACTTTGTCTCCTGTTCATTCCCTGCTGCTCTCCTCCCCTCTCCTTACCAGAGCAGGATAGAGGAAATGAATGAAACACCACAGGGAATGCTACCATCACCCCAAAAACTGGGACCAAGGCAAATGCTACAGCTCCCAGGGAGCCTCCGGGTCTCATTCCTCAAATGATGGAGACCACAGTGACATTGTGACAAGAAGAAGGGGAGGGGAGACCCAAACGATCCCATCTTCCATCACAAACATTCCCATCTTCCATCAGAAAAGCACCTGAGTGTGTGACCTATCACGAGCAGGTCCCCTCCTCCCACCAGCTTCAACCCTGCCAGACCTGTCCCCTCTGTCCCCTGCTCGAGGGCACAGACTGCACCACGTTCTCCTGCTGTGAAGCTCAGCCATCCCTTCCTCACCCTCACCCTCCTCCCCCCACCAAACACCACAGCCCTCCCCATCCCGAAAACCCAAAGCACGAGCACACGTATCCAAGCAGGAAAATGAGCTCACAAAATGTATGACTGAACTATKAAATGGTGATGACAGAAAAAAATGGAGAGAAAAGCCTGATGAAAAATCATTGAAAATGAGTGGAGTTTTGGTTTCACCCATGGAATGGATGGGAATGGACCAAGCTKTGGTTTAAGATTTCTCAGTACCAGCTCCATAAAAATGCTCTGCTGCCCAAGCTTCCAACCCCAGTCCATCCATTCAGCCAAACAGGGCACATCCATCAGCCTGCCAGTGCTCCTTCCCACACCAGGTGCATCAGRTCCTCTCCAACATGGAAAATTCAGGGGTTCTTTGGGTACTGCTGCCAGTAAAATGGAAAAGCAGCCATTGGGTTGTGTCTTGARGTGCAAGGATGCAAAACATCCTTTAAGATGTAGGGTGGGCTCCTTGGTCAGTGAGCTGCACCAGCATGTACTCCAAATGTTTGTCATTTTTGAAGGCCCAGATCACTTTGATAGGACATAAGTGACTTTCAGAGACATCTTTTCACCTTTATGTACCTCACAGATGCTGTACTGGGAACAAAGAGCTTTGAAGGACTGAATACAGTTGGTTTTACCTTGGAAGACATAGAACAGCTTACGACAAAATCAAAGGTGTCACACACAGCAGCCTGGTGGAACATCTCACTCTTTTGCCAGCCATTAATTCAAAGATAGAAAAGACAAACTCTCCCCCTACCACACAAAGTCACAGWCTCCTGACCATCAGCAGCACCTCACCCACATGACAGGTACTCCCCAATTCTTCTCCTCATTGTGTTTTCATGGAGGACACCCTCCCACAGYAGGGACACCGCTGCACTCTGCTCCTGCCACCAGCACCTCCATTCTGACCCCTCAGAAAGGGATCCCTGATGCTGAGGGACCTGCTCTGAGGCCAGTGGGACCTGCTGGTCATGAGGGCATAAAAAAAAGAGCCACATTGCTCTCAAARACCTTTCTTTTTCCCACACAGGTTTTCCCACCACTCAGCTCCCCAGAGCATGATGTGAAGAGAGAAAAACCTCACACCACAACTCCAGCCACACCTAGGACAGGAGATGAGTGATTGAATGGAACTGCCCAGCTGAGGTCCCTGTGGTAGCTCTTTGTCCTGCTTATCTTCCCAGCACAGTGCCCCACAGCCCCACATCAGGTGACAGCCTCTGTGCAATGCCTGGGCYCTCGCTGCCGTTGCCCAATTAAATTTTTTTCTCTCCCTGGCACATGGCACCGCTGCCCCAGCACATACAAAAGAGAAGGCACTTGGATTTCAGAACTCACAGCACGCTCAGCAGGAAGCCATGACATTTCCCACCAGTTTTAGTCCAACACCAGTGTGAGCTGGGCTGGTATTTAGGATGTGTCTGCCACATTAACAGGGGTCCTGGGGGTTTTGGTGTARATGTAAACACTGACATTGATAAATCATGATAAGCAGAAGCTCATGGCAAAACTCCTGTTAAGGCTGGAGAGCAAAGCCATGGCATCTCACCAGCAGTCCAAGATGCTGTGCCCCATTTGTAACCCCTGGGACCTGCACTGTGTGTGTGTGTGTGTGTGTGTGTGTGTCTCTGCTGTTCCGTGGAGCCACCAAAGGTGACTCTCCCTAAATATCCCTTTCTGGTGTGTGGGATAAGGGCTTCAAACTGCAAAAAGATCTGCTCGTTTAGCCAGGGGAGTGTGATGGATAAATCAGGGCAGCAATCCCAGCGAGGGCTGTGCGGCCAAGGGCTGAGCCGAACCCACAGGGCACAAACAGCCCCAGGAGTGCTGGCACCCAAACCCCAGCAGAGGGCTCGGGGTTGGGGTTTGCTTTGAATCCCAATTGGTGCCTCTGCAGCCTTTTCCTTGTGGAAATGCCAACCATCAGCCAGCAGGCAAAGAGCATGTGGCTCCATCTGCCAGTGCTGACCAGAAAGGAAGCCACTGGGATCAGAGCAGCTGTGCAGGATGAAGCTACATCAAGACCTTTTCCATATGAACCCCTCTCTCWGCCAGGGGATACAAATTTCCCTCCTACCACTGGATTTGAAGTGTGATGTAAAAAAAGGGGGGCAACATATAGTTAGAAAAGCCCCCTCTTTTAAGAGAATTAAAAAGCAGTCAATTCTTTAAGAAAAAAAAAAAAAAAATCTGTGATTCTTGGGAAGTATWTCTAGGCCAGAAGCACCCTGGTCACTAGGGTTAAGCTGGGCTTCAAGTAATTTTGCTTCTGACTGTTCCTGCAGGCAGTGGCTTGAGCACAAGCTCAAGGAGTCCCCAGGCAAGGCACAAACACCAGTCCCTGTCCCAGCCGGGCAGGCATCCCCAAATCCCAGCCCCAGTGTTTCCAARTCAAATGGGATTGCTCTGCAAGTTTCCCTGCTCCTGTGCAATTACATTCCCATGTCAGAGAGGAGGGAGCCAGTTAAGCATGGATTCATAGCCCTTTKCAAATGCTTAATATTTCTAGTTTCACTGTAATTATATCCTGCAGATAAAAATGGTGCTCAAGGTCAAACAAATCCTCCAGGAGAATATGCACGGCATGGAAACTGTTTGGGTTTTTTCTAACTGGAAAGGTTGTATAAATATTGCAGATTGAAAAACTATAATTATCCATTAAAATCACTCTGAGTCTGCTGAATTAATATTTGTCCAYGTTCAACCTCTAGTCTCATATTTATAAAGTTTACATGTGCTCAAAAATCAGCTCAGGCAAGAGGCAGCTGATCAGAAATACATTTTTTCTGGGCCTTTTGTTTGGCATCAGAGGGTGATGCTGCGTGGAGGACCCGCTCCAAGGATGGGGCTGGGCTCCCACCCTCCTGCAGCCAGTGCCCCAAAGCARCAGGATTCTCCAGAGGCAGCATTCGCTGCTCCAAGCCCTCTTCAGACACATTCCAGTGTCACTCCTACCCCTTCCATTTAAATCTTGCAATGATTAAGGGTGGAAAGGGCCACCRAGTCCTACCATGATCCTCACACCACCATGTCCACATTAAACCATCTCCTCAAGTGCCATATCCACACATTTTTGAACATTTCCCGGGGTGGTGACTCCCTGGGCAACCTGTTCCAATGCTTTACAACTGTGACTTTCTTTCCCCCAATATTTAATCTAAACCTCTAAACCCCATTGTTGCTCGAGATTAATCCCACTGTTGGGTGCAGTCTCCAGATGTGCCTGGGGATGCAGAGGCAGCCCTTGCAGTCAYCATGCAGGGATTAATGAAGGGGGCAGAGGTGGCTTTTGCTCTGGAAATATTCCTGTGGGAGCAATGAGCAGTGTGAGAGCCAAGCCCTGCAGCTGATGCACTCGCCCAGGGGGGCAGCACAGTTACCCACCAAACCCCCATCTCCACTCTCCTGCAGCCTTGTCCTGCGCACACACACCCCTGGAGCAGCCCCAGCAGGGAGCTGCCCCTCCTGACCCCTCAGGGAGGCAGAAAGAGGGTCTAACTCCATCCTTTGCCCCTCATTGTGCTCCTTTCCCCTTTGCCCRGGAAGGTGGCACCTGGCACAGGCCCTGCCATCCCTGGGCTCCCCTTAGAGGGACAGAGTTTGCTCCCCCAGTTCAGGGATCCTGCAGCCAGATGATCCCTGAGCCAGGTCCTGCACGGGTGAAACCATGGACAGCATCGCTGACAGCTCTCCCCAAATCCTCCCCTCCTCGTTTCTTGTCGTGATCCAGGCTATGGAACTGCAGCCACTGAGCCTCAGCTTTTGTCCCCAGGGCCAGCAAAGCCATCGTGGGGGTCAGGACACAAGCCCCAGCAGTTGGCATTGCCCCAGAACTGGGACTGGGGTGAAGCATTGCCAGACCCAGCCTGTCACCCTGCTCTCCATCGGCCACCCTCAGACCTGAGGAGGGGGACACGTATGTTCCCTGAAACTGTGGCTGATAAAAACCACAAGAACTGGGAGCCRCTGGCATTAACACCCCCTTGGGCACAGTCCCACAGGAGCAGGTCTCAGGACACCTTTTAGGCTGAGGCTCACAAGAACCACCAGCCAGCAGGGGCTGCCAGGAGCTATATATATCTTGCCTGGATTTGAACTGCCACGAACCTTCACCACAAATATTTGGAGGAAGGGGAGGGSGTAAAAGAAACAAAAACATTTTTAAAAATAGTTTCAGCAGTGAGAAAAACTATCAAACAACCAAAGGCAATTGAAAAATTAGGTGCTTGGAAASCTTGGTAACTTTGTAACTGATGTGGAACCCGACAGCTCCAGCACTGCTGCGCCAACCTCCTTCCCCAAGCAGCTGTGCTAAAGCCGAAGGGCAGAGGAAACCCACAAACCTTGTGCTGACCCCTCCTCACCCACCCAGGAACCTTGGCCTCCCCAAGTGCTGACAGGGAGAAAACCCACGGCATGGACCTGATCATTCCTCTCCCCCASTGCCCTCCAGCTCTGAGCATCCCCTGGGGATGGTGACACCATTAACAYACATTTACATTAGGGATGAGGAAAGGAGGTGGGTTTTCCTCTTGGATACGTGGATGTGAAGCCAGAGGAGCTCAGGTCAGGGGGTGAGGTACCATGAGACTTTTGGGTACCACACTCTGTCCCCGAGCTGGTACCAGCCACAGCCTGAGGAGTGGGCTCTGTGGACGAGGATGGAGGGAGGATGGGGCATCATCCCCATCCCCATCCCCAGTGGATCTGTCCCTGTTTTCACTGGGCACAATTTATTTCCTTCCTTGGAGGGGCTGTTGAACCTCAGCAAGGCTTTTCTGACCTTTGAAATAATTTGGGTCTCAGCAGAGCTTTTTGAGCCAATGCCCTCTCTGCCTGGCCAGGCTCAGCCCTCCCAGCAGAACATCCCTGCCGTGGAGCATAACTGGATTCACACAGGAAAAATCSCACGTTTTCCAGCAGGGATTGATCTCTTCCAAAAGCAAACTACCATCACTAATAACCACTGATGTTTACACACCRACACCCTGCCCACAAGGGAAAAAACAAACCATCAAACACAAAATCTGTGCAAATACACCTCTGGTCTAAACCAACTCAGCCACAAAGCCAAAGCTTGGTACCAAAAGCCACTGAGGTGCAGCAGAAATGTTTCCCAGCATCCAAAGCACACCCTGGCATGGATGAARGGCTTCTCTGGTTTAAAGGTGTAATTTATACTCAGCTCCTGAGTTACTAAAACCCTGCAGCCCTTTCAGCACACATCAAAACACCCCACTTGTAGCAGTCCCTGAGGGCAGCACTCAGCCCCCAGCATGGGAAAGGYCTGCTCCTGGAGGATCCAGCTCCCTTAACGGAGCAGGGAGCAGCCAGCACTCCAGGGAGGGACACAGCTCCCTGGGAAATCGATGCCAAAGGAAGATAGGGTGGAGCTTGGAGCTTTTATAGAGATTATTTGGAAAGAGAACCCAAGTGAAATGGCTCTTCCCCAGGGAACTYGGGAGCTTTGTTTCCCTCCCAACACGCTCAGGATGGCTGTGTGGCTCGCGGGCCCGATGCTGGGCTCCCAGTGTGCCTTGGAAATGGAGTTTTGTGCAGGAAATGGGGGAAGCCACCAACCAGCATCTCCTGCAGGGCACAAATGACAGCGCCAGTGCTTCAGACCCCATGGCTGGGGACATCTCCAGCTGACACCTCCCAGGRCCACTCCCACCCTTCTGAGAGCGCAAGCTGTACTGCAGACCTGACTCTTTCAGCTCCCAGTTCTCCCTCTTTCCTGTCTCYACCAGCAGACTCACAAACCACTCCCCACTGCAAACAGGCCTGGACCAAGTGATTACARCCCACTCCAGCCACAGGTTCTCCACTCCCTGCCTTCCCCCAGGGATCCCTCATTTTTCCACTGGGAAACCCAGGGCAATGATTTGAAGGCAGCCAGAAGAACTCCTTGAACTTAAAGAAAAGAGCATTCCTACCTCACGTCCACCCCACTGCCACAGCCAGAGGGGGAGTCTAACCCCATCCCTCTGCCACTCCACCTCCCCCWTCTCAGGCCATCCTTCCCAACCAGACAATTGTGGCCAGACATTTCCCAAAACCTTTGGGAAAGAGGTTGTCAGCTCCACTTTGGCAAATCAAGTGTATCAGGCAGAGCTCAGAGGTTGAGGAGACAATCCCYTGGGGCTCTGCCAGGCTCTGTGCCCCCCAYTTCCAGRGGAGAACAGGCAAGGCACAGAGATGGTGGCAGCCTCACAGTCTCAGAGGGGCATCCCCCAATCACTCTTGGTGTCATGGCCAGGGTGGCCTTGRGAAGACAGGGGACACCTGCCCTGGGCTTGGCTTTTGGAAAGGCACACACCAAAATGTGTATGTGTGTATATATATATATATTTTATATATATATATTTATATTTATATATATAAAATGGGCAGGGCTGCTGAGCAAGGCCAGGAGGGATGGGGAGAGCTGCAGAAATTGCTACCTGCAGCCACACGTCTCCACGACCATGTCCTCGTACTGTTTGTAAACCACATTGTTCCCAGAGTCGATGTAGAGGATGCTGATGGGGCTGAGCTTGGAGGGCACACAACAGCTCGGGGGAGTGGACTCYGGGTCCATGGAGTTCATCAGGGTCTGGATGATGGCGTGGTTGGTGGGCTCCAGGTGGGAGCGCAGCGGGAAGTCGCAGACCCCCTCRCAGTGATACGCCTCGTAATCCAGGGGGGCAATTATCCAGTCGTCCCAGCCCAGCTCCTTGAAGTTCACGTGCAGGGGCTTCCTGCTGCAGCGGGTCTTGGCCTTCTTCCCGTGGCCTCTGCCCCCAGACCGGGCGGCAATGGTGGTCCTCCTCTTCCTCCGCTTGGGAAATGCCTCCTGGCCGGGATCGGGGGGCTCCAGGAARGGGGGGCTGCCCAGGGCCTTGATCCTATCCCGGATCTCCTTGAAGAGGTTCTCCTTCCTCTGGGTGCGGGAGAAGGCCACGAGCAGGGCTCGCTCGTGGGGCTGTGGCTGGGGTTTGCCAAAGCCCAGCTGCCGGGGGGGCAGGAGCTGCCCCGAGCGATCCGAGACGATCCTCAGCAGGAAGCACAGCAGCTTGCCCGAGAGCGAGCTCTCCCTCTGATCTCGCAARGCCTCCCAGACGTCAAACACCTCCCATCTGGAGGAGCCCGTGTCCAAAATGTCAGCAGCCCTGGAATCCAGCAGCTGGGGCTCCTCGCCCTCCCGGCTCGGGCAGGTGCCAAGGAGGAGGTGGTGGAAGGTGCCTTCGGGGGACAGGGCCAAGCTGCGGTTTTCAGGGAGGGAGCGCAGGATCCGCAGCTCTGCKCCCGTCACCTCCTCTGCCTCGGGCAGGCTGGAGATGTCAAAGAGGTATCGCAGCTCTGAGGCGGATGGGGAGGCATCTAGAAGAGAGAACACAGAAGAAAAAGAAAAAAGGAAAAAAATGTAAAATATCAGGAAACTGAAGCCAAGCTCTCATTAGGGAGGTGCAAGGGACTCAGAGTGAGATCTCACTGTGCAGCACAGCTCCCAGAGCACCCCAGAAGGTCACAGCCTGTGTGTCCTGCATCCAGGAGTGTCACTCTGGCTGGGGACACCAAAATAAACGGGGAGGAGAAGGTACAAATGGAGCGAGAAATCAATTCAAACAAGTGGCTCCTTCATCAGCACTTTTCCCCACATCCTGAGGAGGCTTCTTTGCCTCATCCCAGGTGTTCCAGTGACCCCAGAAGCACCACTATTCTGTTTTGGCACRGAAGCCACATCTGAACGTGTGCAGCACATTCCCATCCCCAGCCAACAGGTTATCACCGATTTCTTCTGCCCCAAGTGTCACACACACACACATGCAGTTAAAAATCCCATTTCCTCCTSGCAGATAGGCACAGGCACACAGATCTGAAACCCAGAGGCTGAAAATGAGCCTAGCCTCAGTTTGTCACTATTTTTGGTGGATCCAAAGACCTGACACAGACTTGTACAGTTTCTGGCACTGAATAAATACACTCAGTGTGAATTAAAAAAAGAAACACCAAAGGAGGTGGAGTTGGGAAGAAGAGATGAATTGAGTTCTGGGAGGGTTACTTTTTGTTTTCTCCCTCGTTAACGAGAAACCTGACCTGGGCACGCTGCAAACATCTCTGCTGTGCCCGGAGCGCCCCGACCCGCAGCCGGCAGAGCCCTGCCCGACACCCCCGCCCCGCACCCGCCCACTCCCGCCGACAGCGGCGCTTGGTGAAGCTTGCACCGCCCGCAGAGGGGGAAACTGTCTTCTCCCTGTCATTTGTTGCTGCTGCTATCATCATTAATAGTAGTACTATTATTCATTCTAGTTATTATAATTACTGTTTGAAAAGCAGATCTAAAATTCCTGTGAGGAGTAGATAAGAGCAGATAAGGAGATCCCTTTGAAGAGTTCATCTGGTTTCGTTTTGCGCTGAAACTTCCCAGGACCTGTGCGCAGTTTTCGCCCAGCTCTCCCAAGCCGAGCACTGCCCACCCTCCCACCGGAGCATCCTCCCCCCTGTCCCGCCTCGCCACCCCGACATCTCCCGTTCAGCTTCCAGTAAACCTCCTCCAGCAAAGGCTGCCGGCAGGATACRGCCCCTTCTGGGTGTGGGAATGGGGTTTGGGGATGGGGTTTGAGGGCTCCACACCATCAGCCGCCGCTCTCCCACCCCTGGGCAGCCGGCGACAGGCACGGGGGGTGGCTGGCGCTGGTTTTCAGTTTGTTTTCATTTTATTCGATCGGGCATTTATTTTTTTTCCCCAGCCGAGCCCTCGGCCGGCAGGGCGTGATGTCAGTATATGTATGTGTTTATGTTAAAAGTACATCGTTTGGTGCGTATATGCATTTGACTATCATTATTAGATCCGCGAGTATGAAGAGGGCAAAAAAGGGCAAAGAGGGAGAAGGGGACAGCGAGTCCGAACTCAGCCGGCAYCGCCGGCGGGAGCCGCTCCGGAGCGCCGCAGCCATCCGCGGCCGAGCACCCCCGGGGCACCGCGGCTGAGCTCCTTCCCCGGCCCGGTCCGGCCCGGCGCGGTTCTCCACGGAGCTTTTCGGGCTGCGAAGGCTCTGGTGGGACGGGGGTTGCCGTGAGTAGAAGCTGTTCTTAAACTGTGCAGCAGCCTCCGGCTCCGCATCAGGTGCCGGGAGGTCCCGAGAGCCGCCGGCACCGCCGCCCGCCCCGTCCGGGCTGGCTGCACCTCGCAGCCCGTCCCGAACCACATTCGTGGAGAGCCCSKTCGCCACCCCCGACCCGCGCTCAGMGCCGCGCTCAKCTCCGTCGGCAAACCCCCTCACCAGCTCCAGGTACAAACCTTTTGCTGTCCCCATCGTCACCTCCTAACCGTATGTTCACRCACAGCTCCAATCCCAGCCCTATCCTCGCCTCCACTCCCACGCTCACACTCGCGCACGGCTTCATTCCCGTTAAACAACCGGGATGTGCAGTCCCTATCCCGTTAAAACTCCATCCCAAGCGCTACCCCATCTTCTGCAACCACCCCGTGTGGAAACCAACGCACAATCCCATTCCCCAGCAACGCGCAATCCCAGACACAGCCCCGTGCCCGGACCAACGCGCGAGCATCCTGTCCGTGTGCCACCGCGTCCCCAAACTCACTCTCACAGTGATGCACAATCCCCGGTGTCCATCCCCACATCCACGTAGGAGCCCGATCCCCACACCCACCGCACAACACCGTCTCCATCCCCAAGCCCCATCCTCATCCCCAAGCCCATTCCCAATGGATTTCTCTCCCGCCCGACGGCGGAGTCCCGGCGGGGCGGCCCGGCCGCTCTCCCCTGCCCTGCCGCGGGCGCTGCGCTGCGCTGCGCGGGGGGACGCGCGTCCCGCACTCACCGCTGCGCGCCCGCTCCGCGAAGCCCGTCACGGTGTCGGCGCGGCGGCCGGGGGCGCGGCGGGCGGCCAGGCGCTGGTACAGGGCCACCATGTAGTGATGCGGCACCACCGTGCCGTTGCGGAGAGCCCCGTCCCTCCGCGGCGGGGAGGAGAAGGGGGAGGCGGCGGCGACGGAGGAGGAGGAGGCGGAGGAAGGCGCGGCTGCCGAGGGTCGCTGGGGAGCGGCCGCTGACGGGCCGCGCACGGCGGCGGCCTCCAGCCCGCGGCGAAGGCGGCAGGCGCCCAGCAGGCAAAGGCAGAGGGCG